GCTAGTAATTTCATAAGATAGCGAGATTTGATACCAAAGTTGATTAGACGAGTCAGTCGAGGGTGTAGACGGAACCGTGAACTAGAAAATTCTCTTATTTTATTATATTTAATTTTTATTTCTTTTGTTTAGATTTTATTTATTGCATTAGATTTTAGGTTAGTTATCAAATCAATCCCCCCCATCTTTTTATTGCTTTCTTAATTCAATTAATACGAGAAATTCATAATTTAATTCACACTCCTCGTGGGATCGACCCTTACTTGCCATTACTATTAGCTAGTAGAGGTTTGTCGAGGAAAAATATAAATATTAATTTGACGCGTTGCGACGCGCGGTCACCGAGGGAGAGGATGTTACCAATGATGGGCCAGGGAAACGGGCCCGGAGGGGGCTTCGAGGGCTTTCGGTCCCTGGTGTTGAGGATAAAAGTGAAAATCAAGGAGATTGAAATCACCAGAGCTATTAGTGGTGATCGATTATCCATGACTAGCTAGGATAAATTTTCTTTCTTTAGCTTTCTTTTCGTGATTTGAATGAATCTTTAGCAGACTCAAATTTAGATGGCTATCAGATGCAGAAGGAACCTAAGGCTCCCTGTTGTTCGATAATAATGCAAATGTTACGTCGTTATAACCGTAAAAAAATTATTTCAACTTCATCGAGATACATTTGTTAAAAGACTAAAGGCAAACACAGGATTGTGTGTATGTGTACAACCTTTGACCCTTAAGTTCTCTAATTATATGAAACTGCTGCAACATTTTGATTCTTCCTTATGTTGTAATATTAGAGAAAAGCATTACATGAATGAAACTGTTACTTTTATTATGAATACATTTTCATTGTCTCACCAACTCAAACTCTCAAGTAAAGCATCTTCTTGGAACTGCGTGAATGTCGAGGGTACCGCTGATATGAAGCGTAAACATGATCCTATAAGTTACGCGCTTGCACTCGTCACTTAATCGGAACTTGAAGAAATGCAATAGAGCTGCCGATACTATCTTCATCTGTCGATACGCGAAATCCCTTCCCAGACAAGTCCTTGGGCCTGCCTGAAAAAAATAAAAATGAACAACTATAAGTCTATATAAGTACACTGTACACATGTTGGTAAAAAGAAAAATACCCGAACGAGCCACATATAAACTTACATGAAAAGAAACGAATTTGAACGGTGACTCGGGTTGGAAAGTCCCGTTTTTGAGCCATCTTTCAGGTTTAAACTCTTCGGCATCATCTCCCCATAAATACGTCATACGGCCCATAGCATACGCCATGTAATATACGCCGTCACCTTTTCTCAATTTGAACCCATCCGGGAGAGTATCGTCTTTTTCCGCGCACCTTCCATCCTAATCATCGAGAAGATTTTGTTAAACGTCATTTTTTTCGACTTCATTTCACAAAATGGATTGCAGTAGAATTATTTGATTTAATTTAATTTAATTTTTTTTTTACCACAGGGACAGCAGGGTATAGCCTCAAAGTCTCGGTCAACGTTGCATGAAGATAATGCATTTCGTCAAGTGCTTCGTCTGTAATTCTTTCGACAAATTCATCGACACTAATTTCATTAGTGCCGTGTGGAGAAGGAGAAATATTAATCACCTTCTCGATTTCTCGCACGATTTTTTCTTGAATCGTCGGATACTTGCAGAGGATGTAAATAAACCAAGATAGAGTGTTTGCAGTTGTGTCTTTGCCGGCGATTATGAAGCTTAGAATAATATCCCTTAAATATTGATCTGACATCGTCTCGGGATCCTTCTTGCTCTCGACCAGGAACCTCGAAAGTATGTCCTCTTTGTTGTTCTTCAGTTAATTCATGAAAAAGTTCAGACAGCAATTGAGTGAAAAACTATAGTTAGTTTCCCTCTAGAGATAAATTTCATTTTCGAACAAGTTACATTAATCGAGTATCATCAAAATAATGTAAATTTCTGGAACACAGGCTAAGAACATGTTAATTAAATCAACACCTACCTATAGAAGCTTCTAAAATTATCTAGTTTATTTAATATATAATAAGTTAGGTGAGAGTTTAATCATTTAATACATACTAGACACTTCTTTTAAGTAGTATAAATAGAGGTATTGTGTGCCTGTGCTGAGTGTGATAAGAAAGAAAATAGTAAATTGTGTATGTAGTGTGTGTGAGTGATCAAAATAATAATA